ACCAAAATAATTTCAACAATATAAACAACAATAAAAATTGCATTATTTTAAATAACAATCAACTATAGATTCTTTGAATTCCTTGCCATTCGTCCAAGCCTTGTTATTTGTGATATCTAGGCGCATAGACTGCCTATAAATTTTATCTTCCTATGTTTGTCTGTAAACCTATAAGGTTAAGTACCTGCCAGGACAGGAAGTATGTTTAACGTGACAAAAACACGAACAATATCTATCATCATTCTTTGTTAATAACAACAGTGAGTTATATTATTTATGCTGCGTTTATATTGTAATAGAAATAAGTTATTAGGCCAGAGTCAGCGCTAATAACTGATCTCAAAATAATTCACATATGCAGGAGTAAATGTCCTTTAATAGTAGAAAGTTTAGTATTCGTCTAATCTGTAAGTCATTATCGATTTTACATGACATTTGTTAACATAAAAAGCCTTGGATTTAAATATCATATACAACATTACGACAGTTGGTATTCGTATATCTTTGTTCCTGAATGCTGTTGCTCATTACTATTATTTCTCCACAATTTTTTTTACATGCAGATCAATATTATTCATTTCCAAACGTGAACAACAAAAAGCTATTTTCAATCGTTCATATCGAGAAAACGTTATCTTGTTATGTAAAAAAAAATTTTCTCATACATACATAGATAGAGCGATGAAAAACGTTGGAACAAAATTTCCTACACTTAGTGCAACGTCACTTGAATTTTGTTCTTACAGTTCTGTTATCGTGTTACATACAGATGATACACACTGGTATGATAATCATGAACGGAATTTTATTTGAGATCGTAAAGCAGGAATCGTGTAAATGATAGAATGTTTTAGTTGCGTGTACATAGATGAATGCTATAGGAAAGATACCTTTTGAAAACTCAATTTGCTCAGTTTAATTTCGCGGCGTTTTTATTACCGTTGATACTAAACTGTGGAAGATCTTATTTATTTTAATTTTTTATCTATTTGTAGTTGAAAGAGATTTACTCAAGATGCCAGGAACAAAGATCCGTGATAAAGATCGAAAAAAAATCAACGTAAAGTTCATATGTACTTACTGTAATAGCCTTCTTGTCAATCCAATGCAGACCTCGTGTGGACATTTATTTTGTAAATCTTGTATCGACATTCTTCTAAGGTAAGGAAATTTGTTTGTGACTTTCAACTGGAAATTTGTTACTGGTTCAAATTGTAAATTAAATACACGATATATTACTGCAAGATGAGATGCTACACATTGTGTGTGCTAATGTTATTAAATGTTTTCCTTATTGAACATCATAATTTTGCGAGGTATTCAAATGCAGTATCGCGTTAAAATTGTCGTGCGTACTGTCTTTCAATGTAATCACTATTGCCCTAAATTGTTGGTACAGGAATCTTGCTATGATGTCTCCATTTCTTAACTATTGTGCCCTGTAAACCCAATATAAAATATGAAAAACGCTAGGCCATCTAAACATGGAAACTGCAGTCGTGAAAATTTTGAACTTGCTTAAAAACAAAAGCGATTTCTTCCCAAAAGTGACTTGGAGTGCATTTTTGGCAATGTGAACTTAAATAAAAATTGGCGAAGTCGCCTTTGCCTCGTGTTTCGCTCGGTTTTCTTAACTCGTGCTTAATTTCCGCATATTTGAATCAGAACATCCAAACACGCAAACCATTAATTAATTTTTTAATATAACAGGAAGGCTAACTTTGTGTAAACATGCCTAGACTTGCATAAAGCAAACTTTATGTTGTTTTACCGCTTCGTGTGTGTTTCCCTTGGACTGTTTTCCCTGCCTGATTGAGTGACCTACAAAAACTGCTTACAAATGGATTTATAAACATAAAAAGGTTCATACTTGTTCTACAAAATCGTTGGTGAAATTTGATTTAAAATGTGTATAAGAGTCGTTTATAAGGTCTCGAGTACTAGGGTTACCCTCCCGGCTGAGACACCCTGTGAAGGATAAGTTATTATAATTTACATATTAAATTAGTAGCAAGCGTTTACATGAGCCATTCTATTGAACAGGGTGACCCTACTGCTATGGTTACTTTATTTAAGAAAGAGGGTGTCCCTACTTGGTGAGAGAAGTTTTTTGTCATACAAACACTTTAATCCTGGTAACAAGAACAAGTTTTGCATAACGCATACGCAAAGTTAAATTATGGAACATAAGCCACTGAACTAAAATACATGGAACATTACCTGAAGCAAATATTTGAAGCAAATCTTACACCCAGAAACGCGTGCGTAGTGTTTCGAGATTCTCTTGAGGAGTGAAAATTGATTGAATGCACACGCGTGTCTGTGTGTAAAATTTAGCTTCAAAAAATTATTAGGCTTTTCTATTACAGGTAGCGTTCCATGTATTATAGTTCAACGACATGAACACATCAATCTTGGATTTTGATGAATGTAAAGTGAACTGGGAACGAGTTGAAAAATCGCTTGCAGTTAACAATAATCTTCAGAAGATGACTACCGCTAAGGTTGTCGAAACGTCAGTCAACAACAACAAAAACAGTCCTTCTCAGGACTTTATTAACCTGGACGATCTTCATTTACAAACACATAATGATACTCCCGGGTTCAAACCATTTACTTTAATAATCTCTCCTGCAAACGCTACATATGTAACCTTTTCTCGGCCAGTAGGGTAACTCAAGTACTTGAGATCAGGAAAAACAGCCCCTATAAGATACGTGTTTTAAGTACGTAAACTTGATTAGCAGATGTATTTGCAATATGACATACTGTTATTTTTAGTTCACTATTTACATTTTAACGATTTAAATAAATTTTTCCCAAACTTTGTGGAGCTCACTTGTTGTACACCGTACAGTCTTATGATGTCAAAATAGAAGATACGATGCAAGACGAGAATTTTTGATTTTTTAAATTGATGTTCGTCATTGTAATTTAGTTAAAGCTGCCTATCTTCCCTCGCCCCCCCCCCCTCCCAAAAATAAGACCTAAAAAAATTGTGATTTGGCCGTCTTTAAACGTTCTTAGTTTTACATCATTTTATTAATCAAAAGTGATGATTTAATATTGTAGCGAGAGACTTGCCGAGCGGAAATCGAATTCGTGTGATAAAGATTAGAGCCATAGAAATAGACCAGAAAAATTGTAAAATTAAATTTATTGTGACGTTTCGTCTTTACTCAAGACATCTTCAGACAGATAATAAATGGGATGTGAAGACAAGATATTATAATAACAAAAAGGTGTTAAATTACTACTAAAGGAAGCGGTGTCGAGTGATTTAATGAAAGAAATACTAAAGAAAATACTAAAGAATGATTTAATGAAAGAAATACTAAAGAAAGCGGTGTCGAATGGATACATGATAAGGAAGTTAGGAAGTGAAATAAGGAGAAATTAAAAGAGGTTAAGTGGAATGGAGTTTCCTTGCACATTAAGTGAAGGCTTGTGTTTATTGATTAGAAGGCTTTCATGAATGGAGAGTTCATAAGAATCGTTGGAAGAGGAGATTATTTTAAAGTCGTCTAAGTTGGGTGTGTGTCCAGTTGTGTTAATGTGAGCAAGAATGCTTGATGATGCAGGGTGGGAAACATGGTTGCCTGTAAGGGGGGATATTCCCAAGTGCTCCGAAAATCTGGTGTGTAGATGACGTGTGGTTTGACCCACATACGAGGCGTTGCAGCTTCGACACTTGAATAAATATACTACACCAGATCTCAGAGGCTTGGGAATTTTGTCCTTAAAGGGGAAGAAAGAAGAGATACGTTGAGAAGGGTGGAAAACAAATTTAATGGATGTATGTGGAAAGGCTGCAGCACAAAGGCTATTGATTTGTGTGCGAATTTGAAGGGAGTGTATGTATTGAGACGAAACGTCACAATAAATTTAATTTTACAATTTTTCTGGTCTATTTCTATGGCTCTAATCAGAACTTTATGTTGGGCATTAATTTTTAATCAAAAGTGTTCATACTCATTTAATTTATAGAAGTTCTGATCCAAAATGTCCGGAGGATCAAGAAAAATTAAGCAGAAATAAAGTAGGTGAAAATATTCTAAAGTTTTATTTGAGAGTCCTACCCAAAAAACTTCACTTTGTTTTCAGCCATTACTAAAAATCTATCATGAACATCTATTTCATTAACTCATTTATAGTTTGCAAATGCTCCAACCTTTAACATCCTGTAATTCTTTCAAAACTTGCACAGGTTTTCCTCGATGCTTTTACGAAGCGTGAATTGAAAATAATTCGTTTACATTGTCCTTCGGACAAGTGCGAATGGTTTGGTACATATGAAGAATTGGAAGTGAGTTGCACCAAGATAGTTATGAAAAAGTGTATCCATTTTATTAACAAAAGCTCCTTTTTCGTCAGGGTCATTCTCAAGTTTGTGAGCATGCGCTCATCAGCTGTATACATAAACAATGTAACATTCAGTTACCTCGCTCTCACCTTGACGAACATTTGAAGAATAAATGTGAATATCGAAACGTGAAATGTGAATATTGTGATAAAGATATCTCGTATGCTTCACTTAAGGTAGGCTGCAGTTACGCGTAACCGAGCACGTAACTACACCACGCCCGGTGTGTCTTCAAGATTTTAATGACGTCATATGGTGCACTTGATAATGAAATGAATTTAAAAATTGTCGGTCGATCGATAGAAGATAGCCAAGATGGAAGAAACTACGTATGTTCTCACCCGGAGCAAAAAAAAACTGAGGGTGGGGGGCGAATAATAGTTTGTTGTGTATTTTGTTGTGTATATCACTGAAGTACATGGTGATATATACAACAAAATACGATACAAAGTATTTATACCATATTTTTATTAAGTAAAACCAAACAAAATTTGAGCCTTCTCATAAGCAACTTCATTTATCAAAATTTTCCTTCACCGATCTTGTTTTAGCATATCAAATGGAACAAACTGGTTTTTGTTATCTTTTAGGAAATTAATTTAAATATTTTTGCTTTGTATTTTTATTTGACTGGTAGGACCACATAGAAAAGGTGTGTGAAAATGCACCAGTGCTTTGTAAATATTGTGAGAAAAAGATACCAAGGAAAGATATTGAAAACCATGAAAGTACGACTTGTGATGAAGTGCCGACTAAATGTGAATTTCAAGCTATTGGATGTGACTATAAGAAAGTAAGACGATTTGAACTATTTTACCATTTCGTGCTAGTAATGAAAAAGCTAAATTGGAAATCTCCAGTAAACAAAATTTGAGTATAAAGAAATTGACATGGTGTATTTGTAGTAAAGTTTTATGACACCTTGTTTTGATTACATAAATTCAATTACCACTAAGTTATTGAATTGATAAGGTGATAATTTGTGGTAATGGTATTTACAATGAGGATTTTTGTATGAAAACATGTTTCGGTATAAAACTGACAACATCAGCTACAACATATGGGTATTGAAATAAGCGGGTTGATTAATGTTGGTACTTAACTTTGTTCCACTAGTTACCTCTCTCTAAAGTTTGAAGCAAGTTATTGAACTACTCCCAATCTTTCCTCAAATGACCATAAAAAAGTATATTACGACATTAAGTAAAAACGCAAGCAAGTATTAGCATTTTTCTCATAGTGTAACTGTGTATATATGAAAATGAAAATATTTTACATGGTTTGGTAACAAGCGCGAAAAATAATTTGGAGCAATTAACGATTTTTTTACATTTTTATTTTTGAGCGAAACAAATTCTGTAGAGCCCGAAATTTCTAAACATTTATGGTCATTGATACAATTGGATTTTAAAACCTGGATTTTTATGATTTTCCTTTTAATGTTTTACATCATATTCCCAAATTATTAACTAAAATTTCATTGCGAAGATTTTGAATTAGTTTCTTTTTTGCTGAGATACCAGCTTTCCAAATTTCCCTTTATTATGCAATATATAATGTCATTCGATTATAAGAGGTTCGACCTATTAAAGCCTAAGAAGTAGGTTTGCTTTGTCCATTGGAACAGGTCTTACTGCCCTGGGAATATTCGTGCTACTTTGATGATTCGGGCTATCAATCGCCCCGAAAGTCTTAATTATGTTCAGATCGAAGCAATGACGTAACTAGAAGGGGGCAGGCCCCTATAAAACGGTATGTTTTACATATATTATGTTGTTTAAATCACAGTTACGCCCCTCCCTACACTTTTGTCTGCCCCCCTGACAGAATCTCCTGGATACATCACAAAGGAATAATATATTCTAGATTGAAACAACAGGTAAATTGTGGCAAACTTGTAGTTTTCGTTTAACGAACGTGTTGGTATTTTTTTTGTTTTTCTTTTACAGACTTTAAAACGAAAGGAGATCCGCCAACATATGTATGACAATGTAATTAATCATGTGAGCCTCCTGTTACGATATGTTATGGCATTTGTTACACAGTTAAGTAACTATGTACCACGTCCAGAGTTTACTACTGCTGTTCAAAACATGGGTGACCAAGTTACTGCTGTTCGTGCCAATCTTTCAGAAAAGTTTGTGATGTTGGCAGGTAAACTTACAGGTCTGGAAAGGAGGATTGAGAGTCTCGAGGTTCGTGGTGATAACGATAGTAATAATGTCCACTTGTCATTTGAGGTTTCCTCGATGCGTGGTAGGATTGCAACACTCGAGCGACAAGTGAGAGATAATTCTTCAACTATACTACGATTTAGCCAACAATTAGATCAAATTGACGATTCACTTGCAAGAAACACGATAAAGATTACGGACCTGGAGGGCCAACGTGGTGCGCGTGCACTGGGATCCAATCAGGCCATTCACAGCTACAATGGTACATTACTTTGGAAAATAGAAAACTTTAAGAAGAAGAGACAGGAAGCCACCAATGGTATAAAAACGGCCTTGTACAGTCTACCATTTTACAGTTCTCAATATGGTTACAAGATGTGTGCAAAGATCTACATGAATGGTGATGGTTTTGGAAAGGGTACTCATTTATCTTTGTTTTTTGTTGTCATGAAAGGTACAGACATTTTGCAAATCTTCTACTATTTTAACTATTAAAAATTGCCAACTTTTTCATCTGTTATAAGTGTGTCATGCGCTTGTTGATTTGTATGGTACACATTCAACATCAAAATAGATGTTACGTTCAAAGTTATCATGCAACTTGTATGAAATATTCGGCAACTTTCGAATTATTACAATATTGAAGAGAAATTTTATGCTTTATTTTACGTAGAAATATTATGATTTTATTTCTGGAACGTTCATTCCTTGATTATATTTTGCGTTCAGCATACAACTAGGCTTTTTGTTTCCTCTGGCGGAATCCCTTAGTTAGTTAAATAAAGATTTTGTTCTGGTGACAAATTTGAAAATCGTTTGAAAAGAGCAAATACTATGATTAATGTTCAAAATTATAACATAACAGTTCTTAAGAACTATTAGATGCACTTAGGATCTTACTCTTTATGGAGTTAATGTTCTGGTTTTAAACAGATCTTTTAAGAACTATTATGTTATTATTTTGACCATTCACCATGGTATTTGCTTATTTTAAAACGATTTTTGAATCCCTTCGTATCCGTGGTTCTTTGAATGAGCCGAAGTAATATGTATGACAGAAATGGCTTTTAATTTGTGACCGTTTAACTTAATATGACCCGCAAAAAAATTTGTAGCCATTGCGATTTAACTAGTGCCAGTCTTTCCACGCACGGCGTTAAGAAAGCTCATGGACGACGATAAGCTATAATGTGAGATTTGACTCCCAGACACGTGTGACTGAGGGTAAATTGTGGCTTCGTGCATTGTACAGGCTTGGAAGGTAGCAGTCCGGTTATATATTTAGCTCAATTTTTGTGACATGCGCCAGAGAAAGAATGACGTATGTTTACCGGGTAATCTTATGAAGATGTTTCTCTTTCTAAAAATAATTCAAAAATAAGTGGTTTGTCTTGTGACTGATTTTTGCATCAATGGAAGTAATGAGATGTTATGGCATTTAAATCTTAAATCTAAATTACGGTTAGTAAAGCCGGAATTACACGAGCGAGTCTTTTGAAGCAATTTTTCAAAATTATCAAACAAAGGTAATGGCTACAAATGCAAGACATTTTTTTTATCGACGACCATTTTGGTAATGTTTATTAGTAGACATTGGTTACAATCTCGCGTCACATTGGCCAATATCGGATTTGTTGCATTGTAGCTATGTATAGCCTGATTCGACCTAGTGCACTAGGGTCGAATGAGGCTGTACACAGCTACAATGGTACGTTACTTTGGAAAATAGATAACTTCAAGAAGAAGAGACAGGACGCCATTAATGGTATATAAACAGCCTTGTACAGTTCACCATTCTACAGTTCTCAATATGGTTAAAGATGTGTGCGTAGATCTATATGAATGGTGATGGTTTTGAAAAGGGAACTCAATTACCTTTATTCTTTATTGTTTTGAACGCTACAGATATTAGGTCTCACAAAAGATTTTCAATCTTTGTCGATAATTTCAAAAAATTTCGTCAAAAAATTCGCTTGAGCTGGCAAACCACGACTTAAGATGAATGTCTAAGTTATCATTTCTATAAGTCGTTTGTTTCAAATTTATTTCATAAGATTCCAGTTTCTTAAAATTATCTCGGTCAGTTGGTGTAGCTATTTTTTCTGTGATTCTCGTTTGTTTCCATATAATTAGACGTCAAGCACTTTTACTTTTATTTTTTTTCAACTTTAAAAAAGAAATACGCTCAAGTTTTACAGATTGCACTGGCCTTTTAGCCCAGCTCTTTGTTATCATGTAGAGATAATCTTGGTTTGCAGGCGCACAGGAGAAATTGTTCTTTAAAGTCATTGCTATTTTTTTTAATTTTGTTGTGTGATGGTATATTTATCGTTAGACAATTCAGATTTATTTGACGTAAAAAGTGTACATACAAGAATCGTGAAATGCTTGCAAAACATATTTTTAATGATTTATACATAATAATGCACACAAATGAAAGAGCCAATTGTTTACACGTTCTTATATGTCTTGACAATCTGTCCACCACATTTATATTTTTAATTCCTTTAGGAAACAAAAAATCCATTTTTGGTTAGCATAAATCCTGGGTAATAATAGATAACTAGCTTCTAATGTTACTTAAACAATATAACTTACTTCGAGTGATTTATTATGTAAAAATGACATTGGTCTGCACGTATTCTCATTAGATAATATATATCCATAAAAGAGCGTATTGCTTTTTACGAGATAAGTTTGTGTGACTGTGTTGTCTATTTTCTGCCTAAATCATATACTTCATGTTATCATGTATACTTCGGTGATTGATAGGAAATCGAGTCCAAACTTTTTTGTCCGTTTAATGTTTAAAAATGCCTTCTGAATAAACTTTATTTAGAAGAACAATTTGTTTTATAATTTTCGTTTGTTTATTTTTTTTAATGGTTCTGTAATTATTTCTAGGTGATTATGATGCGCTACAAACATGGCCATTTCAAAAAAAGATCACAATGATGTTAATGGATCAAGGAAATGGAGATCACATGATTGATGCTTTTCATTCAGATCCTCAAAGTTCCTCATTTCAGCGACCAAAGTCAGATATGAATATTGCTTCTGGATCGCCACTCTTTATGCCATTGGAAGGTTTAAAAAATCGTCAGTATATTAAAGATGATACTCTTTTTCTTAAAATGGTTATTGACTGAACAATTCCTAAAATTAAAAGCACGTTTCGATTATAATAATTCGTTTGAGAATGTTTTGTTTGAGTTCAAACTTAATTATTTAATGTTAACACTCACTGAAGAGTGAGATATTTTCTTGTGGAGTCATGGGATGATATGGATGACGTAAAATCTCTTCGTAAATGTAATGACTTTCAAAGATTTTCATGATGTAACGACTAACTCAGCTATATGGATTGTTAGTGAAATTCCATACCAATTGCAACGAGTTAAAAAGGAACAAAATCTGAATGGACGAATTATGAAATTCTAAACCAATTGCTGCAAGTTATGATAAAAAGATACAAGATCTGGATTAATAATTTTTGGAAATCCAAACATCTGCAACGAGCTCAGATGAGACGACAGAAGTCTAGATGGATGGTTGGTGAAATTGCAGGACGAGTATTTTTCTAGAATGTCACTAACCATCCATCTAGTGACTCTGAAAAATACAGAAAAATAAAAATGCTATGCAATTATAGTATTTTAAAATCATTGCGCTACAATAGCACGCATGGCGACATTTGCAGAAAGTTTTTTATTGAGTTTTTTATTCTTATTCCACAACAAAAAGTTTATTCTCTTGTTAAGAATTATATTACCTATAGATTTTCATTTTGTTTTCTACCAACATGCATTTGTTAAAACCTATGTAATATATTACATATATGAGTTGTAACTATTCTCTTTTAAGAAAACTAAGGAGCTTTAGACCCCCTTCTCTGAAGCTCCTGCTAAATTATCAGTTTTCACCCAAGCCCAAGTTTGGCTATACAAATCATAACCACCGTCAAACTTAATTGAGAAAAACGTCTCGCCTCTTCTAATTTTCAATATTTTTAGCATCTCTCTAAGGCGCAAACCGGGAAAATTGTCTCTCGCCCTCCGGATATCCGTCAAAGAATTTTGATATTTCTCGGATGCTCTAACTACAAAAGATCATATAACATATTACAATTAGGCGAACTGTGCGACAAACAAAGAAACAAACAGTCAGTGTTACACGTCTAATTTCCATAACTAGACTTTTGAGTGAACAAATATTTGATTCGATTTTTGTCTCATTGCCGAGGGTAACGTGAAAAAGTTACAGCAAGTGAAAATTTCACTCGCTTGTCCGTTGCTGAAAATCTTTCGCCAACTATGTCCTCCATAGGGGTAGTATAAAAAAGGGGGGCACAACTGTCGTTTAAACAATATAATATAGGTAAAGCATAACATTTTAGGGATGCTCAGGACTCCGCCACCCCACTGCCTACGTCACACTCACACAAAATCCGGGCACGGATTAACTAATCAAACTCGCTTACTAAGTTTGCAGATAATTTTTGCAATCTATGAACTTAGACCACGTTACAGACTTTATATTGCCTTTGATCTGAGCGAAGTCTTCGAAACTTATAACCACTGTTTCTCAAAAAAATTTTCACAATATGAACTGTCTTGTACAACTGTGTCCTGGTTTAAGTCTTATCTGTTAAATAGATCAGTTATTATTACAGTAGCAGAAAATATAAAGACCTTGCATGAAGAATATTTCAATTGGTGTGTCATTCATTTTGGGAAAATATTAGGTCCATTCCTATTTGTTTTATTTATGAATGGTGCGCGACAATGAATGTTTTATTTATGAATATTTATAATATTTATGAATTATTGTAAAGTAAAAGTATACGATGATAATGTCACTGATGTCAATTTGTTTTGCCAGCTGATTCCCTTGATCATGCGGCTCTCACAAGTCTTTCTATCAAAAAAAAACTATTTTTGGCCTTAAAGATGATTAAAGGTTTTTATCATTCATCTTCAGATTAAAAAGTACGATTTATTTACATTGATTTTCTATATATTTATCATACTATACAAAGAATTACATGTTAACTTTATTATATATATATTTACAGGATCTAGCAATAAAAGATTGCTTATGACGTTTGGTCCGGGATAAAATACTATAAGTTTTGCTTTTACGCAACTCGTGCGAATTTTCTTTGGGATAAGGTACTAAAGATTTGCATGGATGATCAGGTTCCTCTATAATTTTTTTGATCTCTTGGGTAGTAACTAGTTCACGTATGCTTTGCAAGGACAAGTAGTTTTTATGTAGTTGTAAAATTTTTAAACTTATTCTTTGTACACGTTCAATTTCTTGTTGTAAAAAATGTGGATTCCAGTGTAAAATGCATATCAGTGCTTGTGCCTGCTGCTCGTCATCGTGTTTTGCTGTTGAGGTATTTATAGTTTATATACTTATACTCCAGATTGCTTTGGTAAGCATTTTTTGAACTTACAACATTTGATTAAAATTGTAGTGAGAGACTTGCCGAGCGGAAATCGAATACGTGTGATAAAAATCAATGCCCAACATAAAGTTCTGATTAGAGCCATAGAAATAGACCAAAAAAAAAACAAATTGTGAAATTTAAATTTATTGTGACGTTTCGTCTTTACTCAAGACATCTTCAGACAAATAATAAATAGGACGTTAAGACAAGGTATTATATTTACAAAAAGGTGTTAAATTACTACTAAAGGAAGCGGTGTCGAATGGATACATGATAAGGAAGTTTGGAAGTGAAATGAAGAGAAATTAAAAGAGGTTAAGTGGAATGGAGTTTCCTTGCACATTAAGTGTAGGCTTGTGTTTATTGATTAGAAGGCTTTCATGGATGGAGAGTTCATAAGTATCGTTGGAAGAGGAGATTATTTTAAAGTCGTCTAAGTTGGGGTGTGTCCAGTTGCGTTAATGTGAGCAAGAATGCTTGATGATGCAGGGTGGGAAACTTGGTTGCCTGTAAGGGGATATTCTGTGCTCCGAAAATCTGGTGTGTAGATGACGTGTGGTTTGACCCACATACGAAGCGTTGCAGCTTCGACACTTGAATAAATAGACTACACCAGATCTCAGAGGCTTGGGAATTTTGTCCAAAGGGGAAGAAAGAAGAGATACGTTGAGAAGGGCGGAAACAAATTTAATGGATATATGTGGAAGGCTGCAGCACAAAGGTTATTGATTTGTGCGAATTTGAAGGAGTGTATGCCGGTGAAAGGAAGACAGAAATAGATGGGCATTTTATGAGCAGTCAAGACAGGTGGTTTAGGGGCAAAGGTGTTGTTAAGGAAGCGACGTGTGATTTGGTCAATTATACGTGAAGGAAAACCGTTTTTGGTGAGTGACTTTCTGGTAAATTCGAGTTGTGTATGAAAATTTTCGTAAGTAGAGCAAAGATTGAAGATGCGGTGAAGTAAGCAGGAGACTAATGAAAGTTTGTAAGTAAGTGGGATGAAGCTGTGGAAGTTGGTGAAGAGGCCAGTGAAAGTGGGTTTGCGGTAGACGGAAGTGGTGAATTTTCCATTAGTACGAGAGATATCAATGTCAAGAAATGAGAGCTTTCTGTTTTGTTCGACTTCAGATGTGAATGTGATGTTAGGTGTTGTCGGTTCAGGTAGTCAAGAAAGAGAGGGACGTGATCGGAGGAATGAAAAGTAAAAACAGTCGTCAACGTAGCGTCGGTAAAGTAGTGGTTTCAATGAAGAAGGACAATTATTGAGCCAGGATTTTCGTGAAAGGACATGAATATATCAGCAAAGAGAGGCCCAATGGACTGCCCATAGCAACACCATCAATTTGCTGATACATTTTCCCGTTAAAGATAAAGTGACAGTTCTTAACAGCTAGAGAGAGTAGTTTTCAAATTCTGTTGCAGTGAGTCCGTTGAAGTACTGGTGGTTGTTAAAATGCTTTTGGATATTATGTGGATGGTTTCGTCAACAGGTATGTTAGTAAATAGGGATACGACATCAAAACTAGCAAGGACAACATTACTGGAGTTGATATCGCAGTTTAGGATTTCTTCAACAAACGAGAAAGAGTCTTTGATGATGAGGTTGCTTATAGTGAAGGGTTTTAGGAGTGGGATGAAAAACTTTGCTAGATTATACGAATAGTGATTAATGGAGGAAAGAATGGGTCTGAGAAGGATGTTACATTTATGTATTTTAGGAAGGCCATATAATATACCTATTCGTGAACCAGTAGGGTAAAGTTCTTTGTACGTTTCTTGGCCGATAGATTTGGCATCTTTCAACTTTTTTAATAAAGATTTCACTTGATTTTCTCGTTGTAAAGTGACTTTGACTGGATCTCCATTAAGAGGTTGAAACTTTGTAGTGTCAGATAAGAGTGTGTCCATTTTCTTTGTGTAGTCGTCTTTGTTAAGTATTCACCACTTCCGTCTACCGCAAACCCACTTTCACTGGCCTCTTCACCAACTTCCACAGCTTCATCCCACTTACTTACAAACTTTCATTAGTCTCCTGCTTACTTCACCGCATCTTCAATCTTTGCTCTACTTACGAAAATTTTCATACACAACTCGAATTTACCAGAAAGTCACTCACCAAAAACGGTTTTCCTTCACGTATAATTGACCAAATCACACGTCGCTTCCTTAACAACACCTTTGCCCCTAAACCACCTGTCTTGACTGCTCATAAAATGCCCATCTATTTCTGTCTTCCTTTCACCGGCATACACTCCCTTCAAATTCGCACACAAATCAATAACCTTTGTGCTGCAGCCTTCCCACATATATCCATTAAATTTGTTTTCCGCCCTTCTCAACGTATCTCTTCTTTCTTCCCTTTAGGACAAAATTCCCAAGCCTCTGAGATCTGGTGTAGTCTATTTATTCAAGTGTCGAAGCTGCAACGCTTCGTATGTGGGTCAAACCACACGTCATCTACACACCAGATTTTCGGAGCACTTGGGAATATCCCCCCTTACAGGCAACCAAGTTTCCCACCCTGCATCATCAAGCATTCTTGCTCACATTAACGCAACTGGACACACCCCCAACTTAGACGACTTTAAAATAATCTCCTCTTCCAACGATACTTATGAACTCTCCATCCATGAAAGCCTTCTAATCAATAAACACAAGCCTACACTTAATGTGCAAGGAAACTCCATTCCACTTAACCTCTTTTAATTTCTCTTCATTTCACTTCTAAACTTCCTTATCATGTATCCATTCGACACCGCTTCCTTTAGTAGTAATTTAACACCTTTTTGTAAATATAATACCTTGTCTTAACGTCCTATTTATTATTTGTCTGAAGATGTCTTGAGTAAAGACGAAACGTCACAATAAATTTAAATTTCACAATTTGTTTTTTTTTTGGTCTATTTCTATGGCTCTAATCAGAACTTTATGTTGGGCATTGATTTTTATCACACGTATTTAATTAAAAGTTTAGACACTACTTTTAAAATGTATATCGTATATGATTGAAAGGAAGTAAAATATCATTGAATAAGAAACTCTTTCTTTGTCCGTTTATATGCTTACGTGTAATTGTAGTAAAGATCTTGAAAAAAATGCCATTTTTGTTGACCACTTCATGTTTCACTGTAACTGCAGCAGTAAAATTATATTTCAGGTTATTTGATAAGTATTCTACAAGTACTCGTCTATGTGCTACCTCTATGTATTGTTTCGCGTAGAAAAGATATATTTCAGTATTTGCTTTC